CCGGCGTGCCAGGAACTCCTCGGTCGCTTGGGCTGCCTTGCCGGTGGTGGCCCTCTTCGGGCCCGCCTGGACTGTTGCCATCAACCCGACGATGACTGCCGCACGAAGCCCTGACATGACTCCCTGCATGGACATGGAAGACAAACTGCGAATGCTGAGAGTTGCGCTGTTGAAAGCGTCGCTGATAGCTGCAGCTCGAGCCGATGGCTACGGATAGAACCATGAGCGTTCTGGCCATCAGGCACCACACCCTCGCAGCGTTAACAACGAGGTCCTTAGCTCCATGCTCGAACGCCCGACACAGGTTTCGTGGCATCTTCTTTCCCAGAGTCTCCCAAGGCCCAGAGGCCCGGCTCCTACTCCTGGCTCGAACGGTCTCCGCTGTCGTCGGGTCCTTCTGCACCGCCTTAGCACTCACTCGGGATCCTGAGGCAACTACTGATGATGAGCAGACCGTCTGAGCCCGCGGCACAATGTCTAGAACTCCGTGCCCTCGTACTCCGAATTGCTCTGGGACCGCTCCGTCTGGTCGCCTGGGACCTGAAACGACGATGAAGACCGATGTGATGATGTACTTGCTGAGGTCGCCAGTCGCGTCCATGATGGGCGCTCGCTCGCCCGCTGACAGCTGGAAGGAAGTAGCTGTCAGGAAAGGATACTTCTCTAGCGCACTCGTCGGCGCCAGGAGAGAGCCTGACACCGCACAGACGACATCTGCCATGCGGTGTCCCGAACTGAGCTTCTGTAAAGGAATGTCGCGCCTCAACTTGCTAGACGACAGTATGTTCCTGGGCAGGTCGAGGGTACACCCCAGGAAGTCTAGCAGGTTGACGCTCAAAATGTGCGGCACGTCCTCGTTCAGGACGGTCGTCTCGACGACCCCGAGGACCCCGCCGAGACATAGTGGATACAGCACAGTGCCAATCACTCGCGCCTCGCCACCGATGCCGTGTGCCTTCTTGGGCGCCTTGAACTCCCTCGGTACTTCCACGTAGCATAGCCCCTGCTTGGCCAGTGCCTCGGCCTCGCGGTTGAGGGAGGGTAGGCCGACAATGTCACTACCTGCTCCTGGGTCGACCAGCCCCTGCGTCACTGCGGCGTTCAGGAAAACGTCTGTGGTCCTGACCTCGGCCTGCGCCCGCTGCAGAACCTGCAGCTCGTCGCGCGAGATCACCGGGTAGTTGGTGCAGCCGTCGAACGTGTAGCCCGCTAGGCCCCGGCTTGCTGAGGCCTCCTTCCGGTCTCGCGGAGGGTGAGGACACTCGCGATGCCAGTGACCTTTCTCCTTGCAGTTGTGACACTTCGTTATCTTCATGAGCTTCTTGCGGTGTGCATCTCCGGACCTTGCTCCTCGATCTCCTGGCTCGCGTCGTCCTCCGCCGCGACCTGGCCGAGCATCTCGACCCTTGCCGCGGCTGCGGCCCTTGCCGGCACCGCTGCGGGGACGAGCGCCATAGTACTCGCGGTCCTGCTTGGCCGCCCGCTTCAGGTCCATGTTCTGTTTCCAGGTGCGCTTGACCTGTCTCTCCATCTGCATGTATACCTCCTCGGCCTCGCCCTCGGAGATGTCTAGGTCGTCGATCTCCGCCAAAATGGCTTGCACGTCGCCCTCCGACAGGTCGTCGGAGTCGTCGTCTCCCTCCTCGACATTTTCGTCGTAGTAGGAGTCGTCTCCTGCCTCGTCCACTCCGGGGTTGGCCGTCGGGAACGACTGCTGAGGGTAGGACGAGGGAGGAGGGGAGAGAGTCTGTCCGCCCGCGCTGTCTCGGCCGACTTCTGCGGCGAGGACTGGATGCGAGCTTGTCCTACCTGGAAGTAGCCTCTCGCCGCTTCCGTAATCTAGCTGTCTCAAGGCCCACGACACTTGATCGTAGTCGAGGCTGCCGCGAGTGAGCGTCCTCAGATTCTGCTGGCCTTGTGCTGACAAGCCAGCACCTTCCTCCAGCAGAAAGCCTTTCAGCTTAGTAGACATCCAGATGTCATGGGTCTCTGCCTCGGCGAGATGCTGGTCACGTCTAATGACAAACTGCGTCAGCGTCTCCTTGGACTCTCGCGTGCACTCGAAGAGTGCCCGCCTTCCTGCTCGCCTGAGGTCATCTCCCTCACGTTCACCCGCCATGACGTCCATGCGGCGCAGAACTGCATTCAGCCACTGCCCGCCAGTAATCACGTCGTCGCTGAGGTCTTCGAACTTCGCCTGCATGGCCCAGTCGAACCCCTTCATCAGCTTCTCGTAGCGCCGCCAGACCTGGACATCCGTGCCCTGGTTCCAGCGCAAGATGGACTTCTTCCATAGTCTGTAGTGGGCCCAACCGGGCCAAGAGGGAGGATCGGAGAAGTCGCCCTTGGACCACTGGCTGGACGACCACTCCTGGCCTTGCCATTCCTGGCCGGGCCATCCCTGGTCACGCGATCGCCATTCTCGCTGCTGCCAGCTTTGATCCTTCCATTGATCTGAGCCGTCCTTGTCGCGCTTCCAGGGGTCCGTGTCCTCCCACGGGTCCTTCTCCTCTTGTTGTCTACACGGTCTCGTGTCGTCGAGCCTGCTGCGTTGCCGATAGTGTCCCTCACTACCTCTCTGACCAGGTCGCGCAGCTGCGCGCGAAACTGGTCCCCCTGCTCGACAGCAGGTCCTCCTGACCCAGCGGGCTGACCAGCTGCGGCCGCCGGGGTCGGCGGTGGCTGCTCGGTGCTGCCCATCGTCGCGTAGACACCGTCGTTGTCGTCTGCCGGCATGCTCACGCCCGCCGTGGATCCACGCACTGCACGTCCTCGGAGGAGCGGCAGTCGCCTGGCCTCTCGAGCGGTCCCGGCGCGTCTGAAACGAACGAGTTCCCAAACTCGTTCTTATGACATGATCAACAGAAAAGATCATTAAGCTAAACCTATAATACCGAAATCAGGAAGCCTGTCACAGTGGCGCACCGCGTGGAGAAGAGGGCGCCCGCGCAAGACGTTACTCGGGAAGCTGGCGCGCCACTGTCCGCGCTGCCGACCCGTTGGCCCTCCTGCGCCGCTCAGTCGGCCCTCCATTCGCGCGTGCTGGCCGCGTGCCGTCCGGGTGGCGAAATCCGAACTCGACCCCACCCAACCATCGATGAATCGATGGTAAGGGGGGGCAGGCATAACTGGAGGAGCTGTGGTTCTTACCCCCCTGGAGGAACCCATCGCATCGACGATCTCTCGAGAGGGGTGTCGAAATCGATTGGTCCCCCAGGGGGGTAAGGACCACAGCTCCCCCAATTGTGGCTGGCCTGAAGGGGGGGCAGGCATGGGATTACGCAACGGATTCGACGCATTCCGAGCCGTACCTCCGCCGCCCATCGAGCGACCTGAACCGCTAATCGGCGAAGGCAGGGTTCGGATTCTCGCGCCGAACAGAAGCAGCGTGATACTAGAACTCACATGTGATTCAGCTCAGCTATCGTTATCACACTTTGACCAAAAAAGAACGTGGAAACGTCGTGTCCATCTTGGTAACGGTCGATCTTGGTCAACGTCAATTCGTGGATCATCCTCGTGAACCGGCGACGGTTGACACGGACCATGACCAAAACCAGTATCCATGAAATCCCGCGACATCATGGTCATGGTCATTGTGTTCCTTCCCTCGACTTGGGGCCAACTGGCTTTCGGGCCATAACTCGGGTCCCTGGAGGCTATTCGGGACGATCTGGGCAACAACGGAACGCCCTCGGCGAGGCGCAACCGCCGGAACGCACCCCGAGGCTGGAAAACGCCGAGGCCGACGAGAAAACGCCCAAGGGCCTCGAGCCTCCAGCCCGAAACTCCGTCGGCGCGCCGCCGGGCACCTGGTCCTTGCGCTTCTTCCCTCGACTGATGGGCCCAAAGCGGGCCGGATGAGGTAGTCTGGCGCCGAAGTAGTCTGGCGCCCGAGCAGAGCACGCGTCAACAAGGCGCCGCCTGTGCCTCCGAACAGCACGAGGAGCCGGCATCGAAGAATCGAGGGCGAACAACTCTGCAAACTATGCCGGCCCCTGGCCCAAGACAATTCCTTGCCATCGCTCGGACGTCCATTACCTCTGCATGTGTCGGCTTCGCGCGTGCATTTGTTTGTTTCGCAAGATGGCCCAAAGACTCCTCGATGGTCCTCGTCGAGAAGAAATGCACACGTCCGCTGGATCAAGCATCGGCTGCTCCCAGTCGCTCACCCAAGGCGTTGAGCTCGTTCCCATCAGCGGCGCGAGGTCGGCAGCATGGGACACCAGCGTTCTGAAAACGAACTGGGATACTCCGCCCCCCCACCGGGGCTGGGATGATCCGCCCCCCCCCCCTGGGGACGTGCAACTTACATATGTTTCTGCCCCGCATTTTACTCTGAAACAGAAGCATACCACCACAGCCATGCTGGCATCGACTGGCCCCCTCGCTCCTGGCCTAAACAAACGCGCGCATCGATCGAACATTTAATCGGCAATGTCCAAGACACTCTTGCAACAAAATGACCAAGTGCACGCGCGCGCGCGTCATCGCGCGCGCACGCCGAAAGCCGCCGAAGACTTAAGGCTTCGCAAGGATTTTAAAATCGACCGCCCAAAAAGCAGACGAAACATGATTCAGAAACATGTCGTTTCAGGCAAGGTCTGCGAGATCTTGCGCTTTGCGTTTATATACCTTATCTGTTCTTAAACAAAAACTGAACGTTTTCAGCGTTCGGCCTCTCTTGCGCGCGTGCTGGGGGGGGCTGGTGCGATCACTGTCAAATGAAGCCACACGGGCCACTCGCGCCCGTCGGCCGCGCGCGCATGTCGAGGGGTGCGCTCTCACTGGAATTTCGAGGCAAGTCCAGCGGTGCCGACGAGAGCCCCCCCAGGAGGCCCAACAATAACCCATCCCCCCTCCCTCCTCCTCCCTCATTCCCTCTTCCCCCTCGGCGGCGCACAACGCACCACGACGACGACGACGACGACGACGACGACGACGACGACGGCGGCGGCGGCGACGACGACGACGACGAGGGTGCTCCCCCCCCCGAGCGCCTCGTGGCGGCGCTACCGCTCGGCCGGCATGCCAAGCCCCCGTCGGGCGCGCGCTCGAGCTCGCCCACCATGCGCCCGCCGTCGCCGCGCTTGGCGAGGGCACTGCCTACCACCGGCGGCAAAGTTCGGGCGACCCGCGCGCCGGACGATGGCGGCACGCAAATGACGCAAACGTCGACAACGGGCGACGGGCAGACGAAGGATGACGGCGGAAACAGACGAAGAAGGCATGCGATGGACGACAACTGACGGCGACGGCGACGGACGGACGGACGGACGGACGGACGGACGGACGACGACCACCACCACGACCACGACGGCACGACAACGCCCCGACAGACCGACGCCGTCGACGGACGGACGGACGGCGACGACGCACGATGGCGACGACGGACGATGACGACGACGACGACGACGACGACGACGACGACGACCACGACGACCACGACGACAACGCCCACGACGACGAGGAAGAAAACGGACGCACGGACGGATGGACGGACGGACGGACGGACGGACGGACGGACGACGACGACGACGGTCGACGGACGATAAACGTCAACACGACAGCGGTCGCCAGCGACGGCGTTGACCACGACGACAAAGCCCACGACGACGACGAAGAAAACGGACGCACGGACGGACGGACGGACGGACGGACGGACGGACGACGACGACGACGACGACGACGACGGTCGACGGACGACAAACGTCAACACGACGGCGGTCACCAACGACGGCGATGACAAGCCTCCGGCTTTGGACGATCGGCACGCGGACGCGGGCCCACGACGACACCGCCGCCGCCCGCGACCGTCGTCGACCGGCATCGCCGTCCGTCGTCGTGGTCGTCGTCCGCCGTCCGTCCTGCGTCGTCGGTCCGACTGTCGCTGCCTGGACCCCTTGCGTTCATGGAGGTTGTTGCGCGCCTGTGCGCTGTCGGGGCTGCTGCGGCGACGCTCGGGGTTCCTGGGCGTCCGTCGGGCCCGCTCGGGCCTTCCAGGGCACGAGCATGGTCAGAACGCACACGGTAGACCGATGTGGGGGGCAGCGTTGACCCCCTATTCGTGGTTTTCGTCGGTCATCGTCGTCCTCTGTCATTGTCCGTCGTCGTCGACGACGACGTGGTCGTCATCGTCGTCGCCGTCCTCGTCGACATAGTCGTCGCCGTCCTCGTCGACATCGTCGACATCGCCGTCGTCGTCGTCGTCGTCGTCGTCGTCGTCGTCGTCGTCGTCGTCGTCGTCGTGGGTCGCCATCGTCGTCGTCGTCGACTTCGTCGTCGTCGACGTCGTCGTCGTCGACGTCGTCGTCGTCGTCGTCGGCGTTAGCGTCGTCGTCGTCACCGTCGTCGTCGTCGACGACGTCGTGTCGTCGTCCTCGTCGTTGTCGGTCATCGTCGGTCGTCGTCGTTGTCCGTCGTCGTCGTCAGCCTCCGAGAAGCGGAGGACGACAGCAGAGGTGGGCCGTTCCTCAGAGACCCATTACCCGTCCTCGCCGCAGCCCTGCGCCGCCCGCCCCATTCATCACTCCACCTCCCCCATGTTCCCCATCCTCCCTTTCCTCAATTTCCCAAGAGAGCGCTTAAGACTTACGGGCTTCCTCCTGGTAAGAAATTGCGCCTGGTTGCCCCCCCGGCGGTCCCGGCCCCGCCCGCCGGCACGCCAAATCTCAAGATGAAAAGCCCGCCTGCCGACCCGGCGGTCCTGCTCCCGCCAGTCCCCGCCGCCCTTTTGCAGTGCCGCCCCCCGATGCACTGCAATATCATTGCGTTGCAATCGGTTTGCGCGTCGTTGTATTGTGACTCCAGTGGCGGTCCGCTCTCTCCGTTCTCGATGCGTTTCTGACTTGTCATGCGTTTCTTCTTTCTTCTCGGCACGCGGTGCTCTCTTATCCTCCTAAATCTCGACGGTTGTGCTGTCCTGTTGACTGGTCAGTTGGCAACCACTCGGATAGTACAGGAACCCACCACAGCGCGGCGCTGGGCTGCCTCGGCGCCTCCTTCAGCAGGGCCTCTTCTACAGCCATCCAGTTGTTTCTGAACAAACATGAACCATCCTTTGCATGGTGATCGAACACTGATCTCGAATCTGTCGAGAACACTCGGCTACTTTTGCTCGCGCGAACGGCCGCCTCTTCGAACCCAGCTTCTGGCTGAACATGTCCTCCCGCTAGACACAGAGACGCTGTCCTGCTTCCAATGAATCCGCTGGACACGACGCCTAAGCAGCCAGGGCGCCCCTGCAAACTCGCCGCATCGTCTTCGAGCGGTCGCCCACCGCGGCCGCTTTCGAGATCTTGCCGGCCAACGCTTCGCACACTCCACTACGAACGGCACATGGCATCCGATGCTCTTGTACTTCGCTATCTCGTCGCTCTCAAGATTCCCGTTGACGCGTCGAGAATCGCACGCCATCGAGACTGCTGCCCCCCCGACCAATGCCAGTCGGGAACCTCTGCGCGTAGCCCGCGTCTCTCTTGCCATCGTTGATCGCCTCGTTGATCCCCGCCTTGCCCGAGTTACTCGGGGCCGCCCGACGCGCGCGGCAGCGGCCGCGGCGGCAGAGTTCAAGCGGCAGGCTCATTTCTCAACGCGATCCAGAGAGTAGCCGCGGAAACTCTTCGCCCTGTCCGCGACGACGCCCGCCCCGGGCTCGCCTGCCCGAGATGCCCAGCATAGCTGGTAGGTATCCAGAACCGCGCTGGAGCTCGCCCACCTGCGATCCTCGGCGAGCAAAGCAACGCTCAAAAAGACATCGCAGACGAACAATATCCCAAAACTGCCTTTCGGACGAACGCATCACTATCACAGACATCGCAGGCGAACAATATCCCAAAAAGACATCGCAGACAAGCAATATCACAATCCTCCGCGGCGAAAGCGCCGAAGGCCCCGACCACGTCGAACTCGCCAACAGTTGGGCGCTTGGTCTTGCAATGGGCGACCGCCTCGATCGCTCGCTGTGCTCGACGGAGAAAGGCGGCGAGCCTAGATCGCTGCCTCCGACGCCAGGGATCCCAGCATCTCAAGATTCGGCGCATTGCTCCGGTTCTCGTACAGATGTCGCATCCCAACGCAGCTCCCTCGCGGGCCATCCTGCCCCTCGTCTTCCGCCTCGCCAATCGGCCCGCCGTGCAGCGCGATAAGGGCGTCGGCCCCTGCGATCCTCATCGCGCGCTGCTGCGTGGAAAGGCAGGCCCTCTCCCCCTGGCCGAGCGCGGACTAAGCGCGCCGCTCATCGCGGGCGAAGGCGGTCGACTGCGGCGCCAGCGAAGCATGGAGGTGCCAGGCAACTGCGAGCAATGCGCGCAGATTCCCGCATATCATGATCTGCGCGGCCGCGGCGGACGCCTCCTCCAGCTCGGCAATCTCGGCGGCCCCCTGACACGCCGAAGACCACTGCAGGGCCGAGGGCATGAGGTAGTCGACGAAATTTCCGAAAACAGCCGTCGCACTGTCGATAACGCTCCCCAACGCGTCGTTGCCTCGCCCAGCCACGTCATTGCCTCGCCAGCCTTCGCGCGCCTCTAACTCAGCCGAGCAGATCCGGGCCCCGGCGCGTCATCTTGGCTGGCGGCGCCTCGACGTCGCCTCGCCGCCCCCCCGAGGATAGCTCGAGCGCAAGTGTCCCGCGGCCAATGCTGGCGCGCGTTCGACCCCGATATGCGCCTCATGCCCGCGCGCATCGCCGTCGCCATGCTGGGAGGATGGGGCGCGGCTCGAACTGCTCACCGCCCTGCTGAGCCGTTCCCTTCTACCATCTCGCGCGGCGCCTTGCATCTGCGCGGGGCAGCAATCTTGCCGAGAGAATGCTCCGACTGTTCCCGAGGCGCACCGCCAACTCTGGATCGGCTCGCCGCTGCCAACGCCCTCCCCGCCGAAACCACACTGCGCCCCCGCGGCAAACCGCGCCCCAAAAAAGCTGGAGATCGACGCCCGCGCGCCTCTGCACTTACGCGCAAACTCTAACTAGGGTTGCCCAGCTAAGAAATATCCCCCGCGCCTGATGAGATGCAAACCGATGCGCTTCAGAATCCGAACCCGCGCGCGCGTCGAATCTCTCGCAGAGCCCCCCCGGTCCACAACGGGACGCATGTTCGCCGTGACCGACAATATCTGGCAGTCGAACGCCAGGAAGGTCTGGGCATGATCGCGATCATCAAGGAGGTCGAAGAGAAGGTCCCCCCCGCCCCTCGCCATCAGGCCGCCGCCGGCGATCTCGCCAACAGGACGCGGGCTGGCCCATCCGAAAACTCCGCGTCGCATTCTGGCCACGATGGCGATGCCACCCCAGGGTCCGAAGATAATCGCCGTCTCGGAACCTCTGGTCGCGATCTCGTCGGCCAGAGCGCGCACCTTCCTCCGCGCGACCAAAGTCGCCTCCCAGCGTCGGAGCCGCCGCCTGTTCCTGCGACCCCCCATCGGTGAGCGCGCCTGTCTCACCATCGCCCTGGCGATCAACGTTTCGACGTTCAAATGACCCCGGCCCTCTCGAACTACCCCCGGCCAACATCGCGTCGACGAGCCGGCGACCCTGACCATTTCGAACCGCCCTGGCACACAACGTTTCGGCGACCAGCCCCGAGCCCATCAGTGACCACCACCGTCGTTCGCCGAGCATGCGAACTCACCGCCATCCTTCCCCCGATAAGCGAAACCCCCCTGACGCGCTCCAGATCCGTCGCGGAACGAGCGATGGCATCGCCGCGGGCAACCGTCGGCAACGCCGCCTGCTCGTCGCCCTCGCGCTCTGCAACGTCTACGCCCGCGCGCGGCCTCATTCATCTTGACGAGCGCTGCAATGCGCCTCAGCGTTGAGCGCCCCAGCCGCCTGGACCCCCCGAGGACGCGTCCGCCGAGCATCTCCAACGCGGGCATGGGGGTCAGCAGCGGCGCCGCCCAGGACGGCACGTCGGTCAAATGAGCCCCTCCTCCGAGTCCGCCAATGCCGACGGGGGCCGCCCGCGCGTCGACTTGCGACTTTGAGCCCGCGCGTCGA